CTCTCTGAATGTTTCCTGTTGGTCAGAGCTGGGTCAGTGGTGGAGGATCAGAACCAGGAGGTGGAAGAAGGTTCTGGTTCTACAGGATCAGAACCAGGAGGAGGAAGAAGGTTCTGGTTCTAGAACAGTTTATTTTTAGAGACTCTTTAAATGTAGAATCAGGTGGTTTTATATCTAATAGAATGTATTTATATATCATATTAGAACTTCAAGCTCTGAACACATCAGTTCGTTCTGCTTCACAGGTTTGGGCTGATAAACGGAGTCATTCTAAATGTTTTTCAAAGACAAACCGACTTGATATTGAAGCGCGTCGGCAGGTTTTGTGTTTTAGAGAGTGTTGAATAAATACATGAAAGTTCATCAGAAGTTAAACAGACTCTTTCCTCTTCGTCTACGTCTGGTTTGAAGTTCTGACTTCTCCGTTGTTGTGTTTTGTTGTTGACAAGGATCAGGTGTAAATAAAGTTTCCTCTCTGTTCAGTGGACTACGCTCGTCCCGTCATCATTCTGGGTCCGACCAAAGACCGAGTCAACGACGACCTGCTCTCGGAGTTTCCGGACAAGTTCGGCTCCTGCGTGCCTCGTACGTGTGCAGCTGCTCGCAGCAAACAGAAGCACGCCGTCAGGAGAGACAGGAAGTGATGTAACGCTGTCTTCTGCCCGTAGACACGACTCGCCCTCGCAGGGACTACGAGGTCGATGGGCGGGACTACCACTTTGTGGCGTCACGCGAGCAGATGGAGCGGGACATCCAGTCGCATCGCTTCATCGAGGCGGGCCAGTACAACAACCACCTGTACGGGACGTCAGTGCAGAGCGTCCGGCAGGTGGCCGAGCAGGTGAGCTGTTACCGTGGCGATGAAGCTGAGGACATTATGATCAGTTGTGGTTACCATGGTGATGAGCATTAGGCCTCCACTGAGACGCTTTGAGAAGGATTCTGTGGAGATGAAACCAGAGTTCAAGTGTTTGTGGAGGTCTGGAGTGGAACACCTTCATCCTTCTGATGTCTTCTGATGTTTTGAGGAAAAGCTTTCGTGTGTTTTGATTTTTTGAAACATGTCTCGTACAATTTTTAATTGTGAACATTTTAAAAACTTTTTGAATGTAGAATTAAAAATTATATTAAATTATGTTTTTAAAATTTTTGTCATAAAATATCTTTTGGTATTTTCTAATGTTTTGCTACATTTTTCAATATTTAAAAAACTTTCCTCAATAGAAGCTTTTGGGTTCGAGTGTCAACATTTTTCAAATACTTCATATGTTGAGTGTTTGATAAAGGATATTATTTTAGATATTTATTTTAAAAAATTTCTTCCTGTGTTTTTACAAAAGTTCCTGGTCATAGTGCTGTTGCCATGGTAACTGGGTTCCATTCAGTTAAGTTCAGTTTAGTTTTAGTTTTATACCGCCAGATCACAACATGTCATCTCACAGCTCCCTGATGAGAACAGAGAACCCGACTATCCAAAGCTGCCTTTGAACTCCCTTTGAGCGAGCGGCTGGCGGCGGTGGGAAGGAACCCAAACAGAACCAGGTTCCAGGAGGCGGCCATCTGCCTTGACCAGTGGGGGTGAGAGTGGTGATGGGGTTAGCAGATGGAGAACAGACAACGTAAAGAGAGCCGTGAACACTCTGTCGTCATGGTGGTTCAGGCGGTACGATGATCAACACGTAGGGACAGTTCCTGTTGTTGACACTTTACACTGTTTCATCCTGCTGTTGGAATCACCGTGGAAACTACTCCACATTTTCACAATTATGTTTGTAGACGGTTTGGGTTGCCATGGTGATCTCATGGCTCAGGATTTGGGTTGCCATGGTGATGTTAGATTCTACAGAGACATTTTAGGCTGTGAAGTTTGTGGGACGAGGGCTAGGGTTAGCCTAATGCTGACGCTAACCCTAAGCCTAAGGCGAAGCCGTCCTACGATGGTTGTCACCGTGAACATCAGAGGTCAGCAGAGAGAGGGACTTTTCTCAGGGACAGCAGTTTCCATGGTGACATGTCTGGGATGGTTTCCATGGAGATGTTTTTAAAACACTCCGAATATCATACAGACTTTCTGTGATGTTAAATGACGACGTGAGTAGCTGTTGGAGATACAGCGGTCGCCATGGTGATGGGATGAATCTGATCAGCCTCTACGGTGGTTACAGGGGAAACACTGCATCCTGGATGTGTCGGCCAACGCTGTGAGGAGGCTGCAGGCGGCGCTGCTCCACCCAGTCGCCATCTTCATCCGACCTCGATCTCTGGAGAACATCCTGTGAGTCGCTGCTTCAGAGCTTCTGTTAAACAGTAGGGATGAAAAGAGCGTGTTGGTTTGTGAACTGGGGCAGACTGTAACGGTGAATCAATGTGTGCAGGGACCTGAACAAGCGTCTGTCGGAGGATCAGGCGAGGAAAGCTCTGGATCGAGCCATCAAACTGGAGCAGGACTTCCTGGAGTGTTTCA